TCGTCCAAAAAGCGGACGGGAAGGTGAGGCAGTAGAGGTACCAGTGCCAATGTTCTGCGGCTGCGTTGGCAGATGGATACTGGTGGAAGAAGGAGCTCTCATCCTCTCGGGCCAAGAAAAAAAGGAATCCGTCGACGTGCCGGACGCTTGGCCCTCGAACTTGGCAAAAACTCGACGGAAGGAAACTGTTCCTGCAAAAACCACCTTCTGGCTCATGTCGGGGGGCAACATGGGAGTGGTATGGGGGCATCATGCAAGCATGCCAAGTATTTGTGATGAGCCACCAACAAATCGATCATATGGGCCTGCTTGTTTAAATGGGGGAGCCCCAAAACTGTTTGGTGTTCATAGATGTTCATCTCCCTTTAAGGAACTCGACGCAAAAAGGGGCTCAACATGATGAACAACTCTGCCACCTGATCAACTTTGGACGCCTCGGTTGGACGCCATCCGCGTGTTATGTCTGCTTTCCGGTTGTCATCCTATCAACAATGGACCTCAAATCAGTGATAGAGCTCGATACCGGGTTTTTCCATGCAAAGTGTTGGTGGACGCCAAGCTGATCTGGAATCCACGAGGTTGATTGCGGAGTGACGTTCAGTTCACTTTGCTCATTCAGATTGGGCAAGTGCCTTCCTTCCCATTTCAGATGCTCCATTCCGATCCCCACAACTCAATGCCCAACCCGATGCCGACAGTCTAACCTTCTCTTCAGCAAACAATTCGAGTGTCCAAAACAGGGCCTATTCCGATCTCAACACACGTTTGGGTTGATGTCTTGGGATGGGCAGGGGCATTCGGCATTCGATAACTGCTCTGTCCAGTATTTTGCTCGGTCCGGGGTCCCTGCGTTCACTTGGGGGCCGGAGCATGAGCGATTTTTATGCCGCCCTTTTGACAACAGCGCGTTCACATGAATAGTCTCAGAATCAGTGGTTGAACTTATTTTCTCAGAATCAGTGGATGCCTTGGGTGAACACAAGGAATGTCAGATCTGAGTCTAGCATAAGTCTAGCCAGGAATATTAATTTTGAAGCCGATTAACTCACACAGCAAACATGGATGTACAGGATCCCTAGGATGCTTTCAAAGGGAATCCAACGAAAGCCAAGGTTGAGTTGACCTCTATGTTGGGAACCCGTATCAATCTGAATCTGCGGTTTGAGAGATCCTGATGCCCAAGCGGAGCACACTGGTGCAAACAAATCGGGGAGACTTGCGCCAAGCTTTCGTCTGACCGTGTGGCCATGGGTCAAAACCCAAATCGTACCCCCAGTGAACATCCCAATCCAACCACTAAAATAGACCAGTGGTGCACCTACCAACCTAGCTACCAACCAATATGGTACCATTGGTGTTGACAACCACAGCCGTGTGGTCATTGGGACGTTGGGCTCTTTTATAGACACCCCGATCGCAGACGCTCCATCCTGTGCCCCCTCCCAGTTTGCAAACGTCGACTCACGTAAAACACACACACACACTCATTCCAATTGGCGTGTCTTTGAAACCTCTCGTTACCCGAGATCCGAGGCTTGCCGTCTAGAACAACAAGTAGGGCCCCTAGTGAAACTTCCCACCCACACCACTGTTTTCCTGCAGTACAAGGGTGGCAAGCTCAAGCTCTCTCGGTTTCTCAGTCTATGTGGGGCGCTTGACTGTTGGACCTCTATATCTGAGCGGATCTCAAAACAACCAACCTCTTGGAGATTCAATTGACACCCCTAGTTTCCGCAAAACAAACATATGGTCAATCTTCTTCCAGTTTAAGTGGGTCAGGGAAAGTGGCATCCTAAATTGCCCTGTTTTCTGGTGGCTCGAGTAAAACAAGCCAAAAGGAAAGAGTCTCTCAAACTGCCGCACTAAAAAAGGGCTTGTTAAACAAGGGGCCCTTCCGCATGCTTCGCGACGGCATGCTCCTGCAGCTTGCGCTCCAGAACCACCATCATGCTCTCGGGACCCAATGTCCTGAGAGCAACGCCCAGAACCGGAGGCGAGGGACCAACCGGAGGCGAGGGTCAAAGGACACGTCAAGCAACGCAGGTGTCGTATTGCTTGTGGTGAACATGTAGAACTTGATGTCCTTCCTCCATGTCCTCCCTGAATCAGATGTGTGGCTTGTTGCGCATTGCCCGTATGACTCATGCACCCATTGGCTGGAACCAATGTTGTCATCCTTTTGTATTTGGTGATTCATTTGAAAAGGGGCCGCGACATGGCAATGGGTCAAAATCCCGTACCCGCAGTGAACATCCCAATCCCCACTAAAAATGGTTGGTGCACCTACCAACCAAAATGGGATCCCATCGGGTTTGACAACCACAGCCACATGAGTTGCAGAGCACCTGGACGGGTTCCAAGCTGTTGAAACAGCCTTAGTGAAACAAATGCGTCTGCCCAATGCCCAATGACATGCGCGGCTTCCTTCTGCAGGGCGAGATGTAAAGAAAGAAACACCAACCCGAAACACTTCTTCAGGAACCAGCAACCAACGGCCCCCGGCCTCGTACCAAATCTGATAAAAAGGAAGAGCGCATGCATACGCGACAATGTGTCCACCAGGAACCGATCGGGCCTCCCTACTTGCAAACCCGATAGGGTTCTATAGCCGATACCCTGGCGATATTGTCCATTGTCAAGACATGGGTGTGTCTTTGTAGGGCACGCCTCCAAACTGGTGGTTCTCCTTTTGGTTTCCCCAAAATGGGCACCACCAAAACAAGACATCGGTCCTGTAGCGGTTCACGAGGTCTGCCCGCAGCCGGCTCTCAGTTGCCTCGCTGCCCTGAATGGGCGCACGAGCCAAGCCATTGCGTGTTGTTCACCCGTACTTTTTTCGTTTTAACAAGAATGTTGTTGTTGGGTTCTACCAGAAAGTCACCAAGAACGCCCTGGGTTTCGATTTCAGCAACTGCTTCTGGCTCCCGGGACCCCGACTTTTGCAACCTGCCTGAAATCTCAAGGACCGCTCCAGGCAGCGCCAGCCGCAATGTAGGGACCCGTCATCCTGCGCGCCAGCAGTTTGCTTGTCGGTGTGCTGGTCCCTACCAGTTTATGCTGACTGGTTAAACGCCGGGCCGAAAGGGAGCTTTTGTCCAAACATGGCTAATCAACTTATTTGGTGTCTTTGCCTTTTGCCTCTTGGGTCCCGCAAACCCGGGTTTCCATTAAAGCCAAGGCCAAGGATGGATGAGTCATTGGAAGGACACCCTGGTAGGAACCCAAACATGTGCAAGTTCTACAATCTCCCCTAGTAAGAGACCTTCGACATGGTCAGCTCGTTTTACCTAAAGAGCTCGCCACCAACTAGGCAAACGCATAGAACACAACCTGTTGCTTCCTAAACACACATGGGCGTGTCATTTGTCCCAATGAATGGCCCAGTTACCCTTATAGTGGGCAACCAGCTATTTTCCTCTTGGCTACTTACGGGTAGATGGATCCACTGCGTGTGGTTGAGGAAAATGTTGGACGTTCTTTGATGTGACCCCCCCCTGGAACAGTGCCACCTGTAGCGGAGACCCTCTGTAGTGGGAAAAGAGGGTCGGACTCGGACTGGCTAGTACTTAATTTAGTATTGCTAATACTTAATAGCATTGCCAAGATTTACTCTCAGATTCCCACTAACTAGTTTGAGTATTGCCAATTCTGAACTTAGTATTGCCAAAGCGTACTCTAGTATTTTCGTTTTGCCAAGAAGTTATCTTAAACTTGATAGTTTGGGGACCACTTGCACAAACGAGGCTCCTAGATTCCTAGATGTAATAAATTTAGCCTCTGCCCTTCAAGGCCTTAGATTAACCGCTCGTTGAAGGTAAACGGCTAAGGCCTTGATATATGGTATGTCTTGTCCGTTATTGCCCTGATTTTCTCGGCGTGATCTGCCTTTATTTTCGCTTGTTGTTGCGGGGAGGGGGGGGGAACACTTTCTGTTGTTGAAACCCCCAGAACAGTCGCGGATTCTTGAAATAGAAAAAACACTTTGCACAATCAACGCCCCATTTACAAAAGCGGTCCAACATTTCTCCTCGCATCTCTTTTTGCGGGTTGGTTTAAAGGGACATCCACTATCAACCACCCGTTTTCAGGATTCCCCTATTTGGGTGTGGGTCAAAAAAGGGGCTTCAAATGGAACGCTGGCAGACGGAAACAAGGACTCAGACTCAAGCCTGCGGTCCCCTGTCGTTGTGAGGGTTCCTCTTAGAGAGAAACCCAAATGACCGGAACCAGACCTGCACCCGTGCGCCCGCCTGGACCTCCCGGTGGTAAGCGCTGGAGACCCAACTCTTCAGCAAATCGAAAACGTAGGGCTCATGCTGCTGCTTCTGACCCAAGCGCGCCAGCATCGCAAAGACAAGTATCAAGTATCTGATCCCTGTAGTTGGGCTTGTCTGAAGGATTCCCCGAAACGGGTTTGGCTGCCCGCGAAAACAAACAAACCCCAAAGGGGTCCTCGGTTCTGTGTCTTAAGAATTGATTGTGGCTCCATGTTTGTTCACCTCGCTTGTTCCCAGTTTGCTTCGCGCGCCCTTGGACGCTGAGACAATATGGATCCTCCCATCAATTTGAGGCATTGTCTGCAAGCACTGCGCCGCCCTTGAGTGTCCAGTGAACCGGCGACATCGTTTCAAGCGGGCCTCTGTGGATTTCAGAAGCATCTGAAAGACAAATGCAATCCATCTTATTGGGCACCCTCTCATCACTGCCACACTGCCTTTGCATGCGTGTTGGTCATTTGAATTACACACACTCAGGAAGGTAGTCAACTTCGTTACCATCTCTCGGGGTTCAAACGAAACATTTGTTAAGTACTGACATGCAGTATGTCCCAAGCTGTCTTTGTGCCTGCCTAGAATGGGGCCTGAAAAAAGCCTGATTGGTTTTCGCTCGCAACAAATCGTCTTCACTTGAAACACCGACCAAGAAACTTAAACCACCAGCCACAAGACGGGTCCGCTTTTGGACAGCGTGACGAGACCTATCGACTGGGCTGCCGGGGCCAAACGGGTTCCCTGCTGGCAGCTGGAGATGGGGAACCACAGTTTGAGCACCTGCGGGAATTCGACCTCGAAAAGGGTGGCCCTTGGTCCCAGGTTTCCCTACCAACCAACCGAGGCGTTCCAATCGAAGCCTTGGTGTCCCGCATGCAACAAGGGTCAAACAAAAAGGCGTGCCCCATGCAGGCAGCCCAAATCAAAGAGACAGGAAAAGCGCCCATGTTGAGCCACAGGTACGCTGAGCACGCTCTAAGAATGGCAAGGTGAAAGCCACGGGCCAAAGTCGGAAACGTTTTCTCCGTCTCGCTGGCTGGATGATGTGCTTCCTTCACTTGTTGGCAGTTGCTAGGACTGACATTGGCCTCCGACTATTGCCCACTTGCGCCAAACTGCAAACTCGCATCAAGTTTCCCAACCGCACTCGGATGCTTGGCAAAACCTGGATTGCTGTAGTGGCCAATGGGTTGTCTGGCTGTCACCTTGCCAATGTGCAAGAAAAGCAAGCCATAGAGCTTGAATCAACCCCCCAAAAAGGCACCTTGGGCCCCAGCTGGAGGGGTCCAACATTGGCCTACCTCTCTCATCATTAAGCCAAAGCAAGACTGGCCTTCTTTCGGGCAACCCTTTTGCAAATCACCTGGTTGTCTTTGCCCAACTTTTCCGGCATGCACCAAGAACACCTGCAAGATCGGTATCCCTTCTTGCGTGCCTATCACTTTGAATGGCACATGCCACCGAAGCAGGTTCCAAAAAGACAACCGAGATATTGGAGACTGCCAAACATAAACCAAGGCCGAGTGGCTGAGTCTACGGGATCCACAAAACCAACCTTCTGCCAAGAAAACCGCTGCGCTCTGCTTTCAAGCCTGGTACCCGGCTTTCAACCACGCCAGCCGTCTAGACACCGTTTTGCTACAGCTCCATCGCTCCCGAACCGGACCGGACCCAGGTTCGCCTTCTGGGACACCGGCAAGGGCAGGGTCACCCAGGAGGGGCTTCCTGGCTCGCCCATCCGGCCGGGTTTTTCACTTGCGGTGGACTTTCGAGGAGGAGGGGGTCCCACCGTCCTACCGTCCTACATTCTAAGGGGTCAACTGGTAGGCAAGTGGGATTACGGGCCGCCACTGAGACGCCCGCGGAACCCTGATTTTGGACAGGACCAAAACAAATACTTGAGGCACAAAACAATTCTGAGCCTTTCGTCCCCGTCTTTTCACGGGAATGATCAACAACCAGCGCAGCTCACAACGGGCTCACGCAAAATCAGCCTAAGGGCTGCAGCTTTTGGACTCTCAGCCCCATAGCTGGCCCTGACAATATGCGCAGTGGCTTCCCACCCAAAAGTGCCCTGGTTTAGAAATGATGTGGGTCCTAAACGAGGAAGCCTCGTCCAAAAATCCATCCACAACCTCATTCTAAGGCATCAGCAGGAAGCAGTGGAAGCGCTGCCACAAGTGTTTCAACTGCAGCACCAAAAAGGGTTTGAGGAAAAGAGCCGATCTCGGTTGACAATGAAATCATAGGAAAGAAATCATTCAATCATAGCTTCCTTCAGTCAACAGTTGCATAGCCTTCATGGGTTCATGTTCAAGCTGCAGCGCCCGTCTCCTTACTGGGCCCTTACTAAGGGGATCCCGCAGATCCCGAAAAGAGCCTTGGGCTTCCTTCAAATGATCCCGTTCTTGCACATCATACAGGTGGTGATCAGGTGATGTGGGTTTGTTTCTTTCACTTTTAAAGAAACCCTTAGGGTGGGTTGCTGTTTGGTTTCCCTTTAAGGCAACCCAAGACGAGTACCCCCAAAACACGACACATCCGTATGCCCTTGCAAGCTCGCTCCACCCTCTCCGTCCTGAACCATCGCTCTGTGTCTTCCCGTAACTCCGTGGCTTCTTCACCTGAATGGGGTGTGGAGCATGTGCAAAACGACACCGGAGGCTACGAATTGACCATTGACCTAGGGTCCATGCGGCGGTTTTCGGAGCGACGATTCTGTGATCTTCACTTGCCGTTAATTCCCGGCCAGGGCTTTCAGAGGCGCCGCTGGGTGGGGTTGATGACTCCTGGGCCGACCCATAGTTTAATCCCGGCCCTTGGCCCTTGTCTCAATTCCTAGGCGGATAGGACCAAGGAATAGTTCTTTCGTGTGCCGCTCAAATGAGTAGACTGTTTGGGGGTGTATCAGCCCTACTGGCAGGCATGCCTACGCGGAGCCTCCGCGGGTGTAAAACCATTGGAGGATGCCTACCGAGCCTACGCCGCAACGCGGAGTGCCCCCGCAGACTTTTCTCGGGCGCTACTCTTACGTTGCAAGGCAAAACATGCCTGCGCAAGATTTGATTGCACAGCCTACACGGAGTGCCTATGAGTTTACCCCCGAATACTAAGCGAATAGCCAAAAAGATCGCTCTGCTCAAATGGTCCCAACACAACATCCAAAGTCCAACTCAGGGAGTGGTTTCCCATAAGTCCAACTCAGGGAGTGGGCTATTGGGGTTCAACCCCCATTAAAAAAATGGCCTTGGGACCCAATTTGGTATGAACATCTTTAGGTAAATACTGGCGGTTATATTAGCCTAACCATGGTTTTTATGGTGGCCTGCCTGAACCCCAGGGAATTATCGCTATCTCCCTACCGCCTTCCCCTCCTGCCTGGCTGGGCGCAAACAGCCCCGCAAAGCACCACCTGGCACGAGTGTCGCGCGGATGGATCCCGAGAAGTCAGATTTGGATGTGAAAACAAGTCAGCCTCCTGGAACAAATTAATTAATTAAGAAACAACAAAACAGGCAGTCGTTTTGGGGGGGGGCCCTGCTTTGGAAACAGGTCCAAATATTTGTTGATATCTTGGTTCAAAAGATTGACCCATTTCTATCGCGTGCCGCCTGGCTGCATCCAGTGAAACAGTGTTCAATTCAGTCCACGACAATATCAACCCTCTCATTTCTTGGAATGCCGACAAAATGGGTTGGTAGCAATCTCTGTGCGCCAATGCTTGCAACCGCCAACAATAAAAAAAAAAAGGTCCCCCCCCCCCACCTGCACGGGCAGGTTTCAAGGGGCCAACCCTTTTGGTCTGAAGAAGCCGAAAGGAAACCAGCGAACATTAGACACACCCATCAAGGTGTGAGCAACCACTTCCATGTACCATTCCGTCATCTTTTCCTTTGACAATTCGGGTTACAAGGCGGATGCCACAGGCTGTCCACATGCCGTACCGCCTTGCCCGTTGCTCACTCATAAACCAACAGCAGTTCAAAGACAACTCACTAATGGTGAACATTTACTGAAACCAGCATGTCGCAATGAGCAGTTTGTGGAGGGTCTGCTAAGCAAACATGCAGGATATGTTTGGATTGGCTGAATGTCACGAGCAAACTGGGGAATGCTGACCTTCAAAGGGTGGGGGCCAAGGGGATCACCCTCTTCAACGGTTTTCTTTTTCGGTTGCCTTGTAAAATGGGCAAGGAATACCTCTTGAGTTTTTCACACATGTCTTGGGCTCCGGGCGACATCGGTGCATGGGGCCTGACCCTGTTCTATCCCGGCGAAGGGGGGGGGGGTTGAAGGGGCTTCGGAAGGGTCGGGGTAGCAGCTCAATAGTTGTGGAACAAAGCCAAAACTTTCCGGATCCCAGGAGAAAACAGAAACGATTGTCACCAGCATGAGCATTGCTTATTGTTGTTGAAACGATCTGATACTCCACGCATTATTCGGCGGTAAAGCTGCGATAAAATGAAAGCGATGAGATAAACGGGTGGTGGCTTTCATGTGATTTGTGAGAGGGATATGCTTCGCTTCTTCAGATCTGCGAGTTTAGGGAACTACGTGTGACCCTGACACGTGCTGTCATCTTGCGCTTGAGCAGCGAAATCACCCACGATGTCCCGTCCACCAATGGCGTCTCTTGCAACCAGTCCAGCCTGCTTCTTGCATAGTCGAGTAACAAGGTCATGCTTGGGTACCCTGCTCAATCTAATGGAAACAGAACTCTTACTCTGCTGAGGGCGTCGGCTGCATCCTCACTTTACATTCCAAAGGCCTGTACATGCTCATTCATGGTGTAATACACGTGCCACGTAGGCGTTCATAAAAATATTGCCCATTACTCCAAAAATGGCAAGGTGTCACCCGTGCCACAATCGAGGTCATTGGACTGTTGTCACGACGTGAGCTGATCACCATCCCCTGCTTATTTTTGGAACAGAATTCTTTGTGGAAAGCAAGCACAAAAAGAAAAGGACCGGAGCTTTCTCGTCAGCACTTCTTAGGGACCCTCAGGACGGAACCATGCAAACCATCAGAAAGAAAACTAAACGAGCGTGCTGAACACTTGGCTTGCCATCCAAATCTGCGCACTCGCACGCTCTTCGAACTGGGAGATTGGGTCTCCCGTCGATCTAAGAAACTCCGGTCGGGAAGGATCCTGGGCCTACCTACATGGTTCCTGCCCCCCAAGGGGGAGCAACAGCTCCCAAACAGTACAATCCAAAAGAATCATGAAAACGCTCAAGCACCAAAGGCATAAGAGCGGTCAATATTCCAAAGTGGGGGAGCAGCAACCTAGCCCCATTGAGACAACATGCAGTCAGGTGCTGCAAATGTGCGCCAGCTTCGCGGAATACGGTGAATTCCACTGGTGTTCTGCAGGTACCCCTATCAATTTTGTGATGGTTTCCTGGTGCTTACCAGAACTGCAGGTCTGCAAATAAATGAAGATTTGTTGCCTCACTTAAACACAAAAACTCATATCACCTCAAAGCCGCGTGCCGTGGAATTCCGCCGGTTTCATTGGGGGAAAGGATGGTGCCGCGATGCCTTTCTAGGCCATCCAGGCGTTTCCTGCTTGTTTGAGATGTGTAAAAGGGCGACTTTCCCTTTCCCCAAATGATCGGCAGCAAACTGTTCTCAAATGTTGCTAGTTAGCGTCGGCCATGCTGACAGGGTAAGTCTTTGCCACGCCTACAGCATGGGATGTCACACCACGGGAAAATGGCATCTGACAGTGGCACGCCTGCAGAAGCATCCGTTGAATAAAGCGATATGTTCATGGATTACTGCGACAAATAAAGTTGGGCTAGTCTGAATGTTCAAATGGGTTTTGACAAAGGGTTTCTAGGATGCTATACAGTTGCTCTTTGGTGCACGTTGGACCCTGTGTTAAACCTGTTTAGGGTCTCCTGAAGCAATGTTGGCACTCAGAATAGGGGACCAGTCTGAGGTCTGTCAAACTCCAGCAGGTGAAGGAGTCGAACATCGAGCACCGAAGCCCCGCAAAAAACAAACAAACATGCCTGGACGAGATCAACACCTTGAAGGTTGCATTTGGGCACCTGTGTGGCCTCTCCATCTTTTCAAATGCAAAATGGATACCGCTTCTCTCAAGGTAATTGGGGCGTGTTCACTCCTCACGGTCACAGCATTCCGGTCATTTACCTGGCCTTTTCTTAGGGGCCATGGTTTGGGAGTAGTGGAAATCCGAGTAGATTCAATCTTCGCGGTTAATCCAATAAATGACGATGATAACTAATTGTCCAGCTTCGATAAAGAAGTGAGCAAATGTGGCTCCAATCAAATATTCACCACATGTTGACTCACAATCACCCACGGCTCCGCTGGATTCGAACAAGTCACGAACTCAGACCTGGCAGGGTCTTCTCCACGCACCTTGGTTGAAGTGGTATAACGCCAGGAGGGTTGGCAACCTTACAAATGCCTCTGCGAGTTTGCCACAGGCCTCAGGTTCTGCCATACGGGCTCAGGGGAAACAGCCCAACATCGCCTTCCTCAATAAATGTGTCCACGCTGTTCACGCGCGGGCACATCGGGCTCATCCACTCCTGGCACGAGACCGGGTGTCGAATACGTGGTTGTCGGACATACACCTTTCTGTGCTACAACATGGGCCGTTAAAAACTATTATTTTCTTGGTAGCATAGACATGGGCCCCAAACCCCTGCTTTCCAGAAGTTTAAGGGGAAGCCACGGGTCCCCAACCTCCAAACCACCAATCCAAACCCACAATGACGGGGAAGCTGAAACTAGTGGGCAATCACCCATGTGCTCAAACCGCCAGAGACTGAGCCAAGCCCAGGGCTTCCAGGCACTGGGCAAGCAATAAAAACCACCATGGGTATGGGTCAAAATACAACCACCAGGGGACCGCAGGTTTTGGTCCATGTTTCCATTTACCAGGGTTCCATTTTGGGCAGCTATTTTTGACCCACAGCCATGTACCCAGTAACGAACCCTTGGCAAACCTACAGCGCTGCCCGGCAGCACTTCGCTTTGAAGAACAAATCCCTCCGAGCGACATGCGTCCATCGCCTCGCTGGGGCGGAAGAATTGCCAGCGCTGGCACCCCCCGCGGCGCCGCCAGCGGTGGCACCGGGCCAGGAGCTGATAGGCCCTGTAGGCCGTGCCTCGGAAAAATCGGATGGAGAAACAGATTCATTTCATGTGATAAAACGAATGTCATAAAAGCAACACAGTAATAATATAAACAAATGCAAATAAGTAATCATATCATGCACAACACAAGCTCTTGATTTACATGCACGAACGAGAAGGCGAAATAAGACAATATGACAATATTGCAAAACAAACACATACCACATATCCACAAGGAATGTTTCAAGGAAAGCAACTAAGCCAAACACGACACAAAGAGCGATGCAACGGGCTGACTTTGGGTTGGGTTGGGTGGTTTGAGACATGTTCCAAGCACCGGTCGTTTTGCTTCAGATGCGTTTGGTTCATTTCCTTGGCTGGTTTGCTTCGGATGCCCTAAATATTGCGAGTGAACTGACCAGATCCTGGCAAACTAGGGTGAATAAGGCTTTCGTTGCTCTACTGGCTCTGGGGCAGCTGTTGGCCCATCAAGCCGAATCTCTCGCCCACAACCTCCGAGGGGCGCAGTCGCCGCGCGGGGGCGGTGTACATAAGGAAGGCCACAGTGCCCCCAAAAAGCACCACGAGCTGCAAGATGCCTCAGGGTGAGCTCGAAACAAAAGGTGCCCTCACATAATATATATATATATATATATACATGCACCCCCCCCCCAAACCCGGGCCTGCTGCTTATGCAAGGGAAGTCAGGTCATTTTAGATACACGTGTGCTCGTTTTACAATGTTGGCAGACTTGCGCAGATGATTCATTAAGCCTTTGTCACCCATGTTAATAGTATTTGCTTCTACTTTCTGAAACATGTTTGTGATTTTCCTCCTTTAGATTCGCGTTCAATCATTGTGTCATACAGCTTCTGGTCATACACTAAATTTAGTTCAACACAAGTTAACTTGAACATAGCATGAGAAGCAAAGGTAGGTCAAGTGTAGAATCGAAGCTAGGCAAAGCGTCATAATACACAGGGTCTAAGCCACAATATGTCATACATACATCTCTGAGTTGTTTGCCAAAATTGTCAATCAAGAATTAACAAATCTGCTTTCAAAGAAGTTGCGATGTTCTCTCATGTTTAACTGTTCCAATGTGTCCATAACAATTTTGTTGTTCATAGTCTTCATCACGAATCCTCGTTAAACTGACCCTAACAGTTCTGTGGGAGTACCGGCGCAAGGGTATCAACAATAAAGCAAACAATGCGACTTCTACTTTGCCTAGGCATCTTCAAATTATCATCTCATTTGATGTGCAACTCCTTGCCATTTCTCAACTTACAAATCTGTGCCAATACCTGCTGCGCATCTTGCAAATCCCCTTCGTCTGTTGTCTCACAAACCTTCGCCAATACCAAAATAATACTGGACATACCAGTGTGTTGCATGCGTCTCAGTAGGTTTTGTCCTGCAATGATGTTCTTTCTTCAAAACCCAAGGTTTCTAAGAATTTAGGTATCCAATGTCCATATGCTGAATTATCAAGCGTTACCACACACACACAACTCCCAATATAATAATAAGTTGCACAACCAAACCTGAACGACTGAAAGCAAACTCTTTTCGGCGCATTAAAGCGCTTTCGGGTCCAACCTTCAAGATTCCCAGGACTATGGTTCTGGAATCTTGAGGTCAGTATGGGGCCCCCAAAACGCTTTAAAGCGCTTTAAAGCACTTTTGGATCTGAGATTCAAGATTCAAGATTGCCAGGACTCTAGATCTGGAATCTTGAATCCAGCCCGGGGCCCCTAAAACACTTAAAGGGGGTGGAAATCACCCAATGCTGTAAATACTGTCAATTTCTCTTGGGGTGTCGTTTTTCTTTGTTGGGGCGGGGGAACACATACATATATATATATATATACACACCAAAAACGCGGAAACCAAAAGGTCGGCTTTGGGCATTTCGGAAAATCACAAGGGGCCCTATAACCACGTCAGTACTTTAAAGGGGGATCCTCTTGTTTTCTTGGGTGTCACAGAACTGCCACTTTAAAAGGTCGGAAAAGCTCTGGATACTTGGCGCTCGCTCCCAGCTACATGCTACTGCCTCGGTTGCCATTCACTGTTTCTGTTGGCTGGCGTGCTGCAACTGAAAGCTCGACCCATGATGTGAAGCGCCCAACCTTTTCTCAGTTGCCCAGTCTCATGAAGGTAGACAATACACCGGAAAACGCCAGAGAACAGCACAACACAGCAGGACTCTTGCTCGCCTTAGAGAGCCTCAGCATGTCCAAGTCTGCCCGTCAGCTGCTGTGCTTTCTTTGGCATTTGGTGGGCTGATCGGACTGCTTCATTTCAACTATTCAACTAATATGTACTTGATTTCTTTGCTGCCCGTATCTGCCTGTCCTTAAAATTGGCTGGCTCAACACTTGCTGGAGTCTTCCTTCCCCAACCTCTGAAATTCTAGCCATACGTTGCAGTGCAAGGTGCACAAATTCAGCAGCTGTCAGAGTGCTTTGCCCCACTTGGGGCTTCCGTTCACAAATCTTCCAACGTGTTCCAAACGACTCGTCGGGAGAAACAAACAAACACACAAACAAACACACGCACACAAACCTTTTTGTGTTCGGCTCATTTCTAAGGGACACCCCACAAACAAGAGAGAAGCCGAGGTCCGCCACTGGGAAACTGCGCAGGGCTTGGCCGGACTTGACGATTGACGAACCCGATTACCAAGTCAAAGTGCGGCATGCAACAATGCAAGGTTGCCAATTCGGAACTAGGACTCTGGAGCTCACAAGGGAACAAAACTCTCGTCTGCACTTTTTTGCAACCGGACCTAACACACGTTTAATTGCTTGATCTCTTAGTTGTTTGGATGATTGAGTGACTGATCGATCGATCGATTATTTGATTGCTTTAATGTATTGTATTGTTTGATGGATCAATCAACATTCATCGGCACAACCGAGCCGTTCGAACACCCTGCCCAGGCATTCAACAATGTCAAGTTGTTGCCGAGTCATTAAAAGAAAACTGACAAGAACATATTCCAACCATACGGGTTGACATGATCACTAAGGGAACTCAGAGTTGGGGTTCAGCCAGCCTGCTTGAACATTGAACCACTCAGCGTAGCAATCCGGGCTGTCGCAATTGGAGCTGGACCTTTTGGCCAAGATACATTCAGGGGCCCAACGGCCCAACATAAGCATCTCGTGGCAACTTTCCGCATGGGTTTGTCGCTAAGCTGGATCGGAACCACATTTGTCCATGAATTGTAATAGTGAACCGCCTGGAAAGCGGTTGGTGAACATGGATCCCCACCTCAATGATGTCCACCAAAGGGTCCCTAATTAAACTTTATGCCCACTTCAACGGGTCAGAGTTTCAGGGAAGTTGCTCAGGAAGAGCTTCACAAAGTCTTCGCCCAAGCTCCAGCGCAATGCCTCGGGCTTCGCAGTGGGCAAGCTGGAGAGAGCTCATCCTTGCTACGCGGCATTCAGTGAGGCTGACTAGGCTTTGTCGAAAGCCGTGTGCTTGCCTGGGCCCCCTTCTGGAACTTAGGGGCTGTCCCTTTGAAAAACAACGTGGTAAGTTGTTTCCTTCCTCTTAGAGAATCCGTGTCCCCAACAAGCAACAGCTGCGGGGCAAGTGTTTGCTTTGGCCCTGGAACCATTTGGAAGGGGCCCGTGAATCCTTCAATGTGCGTTCATGGCATGGGGAGGTCTGTGAACAAACACAAACAACCCCCCACCCCTGATGAGGAGATCTCCAGCCCAAAGATCAACGTGGCAGTAGCGTTATTGTTTCAAATAAGAACTCGGAACCCGATAACATGTCCCTTCAAATAAACATGATGTAAACCAGGGCCGGGTCTCCTGTCAGCACCAAGTTGTGGGGAGACGGGGCGCAAATAGGTAGGCATACGCCAATATTCACCGGGGAAAACGAGACATGATGAAGCTTCGCCCGAAAGCCGATTTCTGCTTCGCGCTTGCCGAAAGGTGTGGAGTTTGCTCAAAATACCTTCAAGAGGAAAACAGCCTTCCAAAACTCTCCCATCATCTTCATGGATGGTGATCATCAGATATCAGAGAGTTGCTCCATGCAAGACCTAAGACCCTTAGGGTGCTGCTGCGGGGGGGCATGCTCTCTGACTTGATAGAAGCCGCTCTTTTCACCTAAGTACAGCCATGCAAAGTTAAACTTACCTGAATGTTGTCAAACAAATGGACCTGAAAGTTAATGGCGCAACTGTTAAACTTACCTGACGAACTGCGTCACTTGTTAAACTTACCTGAAAGACGCAACAAGTGGACAAATTCCGGACGGAGGAATTTGTAAAAGCACCAAACTGAAATGTGGTTCCAATGTAGGACCACTACCGCGAAAGCAAAAGGGATCCTAGTGTTTTCGGTTCTTTTGCGGGTCAAGCCCGCCGTGGCCTGAGAACAGCCCTTCAACATAAGCCATTCAACACATCAACATGTTATAAGAATATGTTCATGTTTAAGAGTTTAAGTGAGTTCTTTTCGGTGGAGTGATGCCAATGCTGAAAATTAACATTTGGAACCCCAGTTGTTCACAAACAAAAGAACATGTCCGCACTGAACACGTCTGCGGAGTTGCGTAGAGCGTGAGGCTCAACCCGATGCAGCAGGTGCAAATGCTCGAGTGAAGTGCCTCCAAAGGGAATTGCCGAGGAATTAGTGCCTTCTCGACATCGTCAGGAAGACACGTTTAAGCCCATGAAAACAGTGCATCTTGTTCCTGGAGAACATAATTCCCCAAACAAACACCTTTCAACATTGTGGGTAAGACTGTGAAACGGTGGTATCCACAGTATGGCAACTTGCAATGAGCACCTGCTTCAGTCCAGTCCTCGCTTTGGCGCGGGCGGTGAAGACTTTCGGAATGGATTGCCAGAACTTCCAGTTGTATCCTTTCGGGCTAGCAACTCAACGGTTGTTTCGATTCTCGTTTAGCCTGTTTGTTACCCTCACTATGGTAAGGTGCTGGGCGGCCCACCAGTGCTTAGCTTCATAAAGCTACACGAAAAGGTCCCTAGTTTCAACCTCCCGCTCCTTGCAGCGTGGAAAGCAAACATATGTTCCTCCTCAACAAACATGCAGTTGCATGAAGCCTACGTGCTTTCCAGTATTCCTGGTACCTTGAAAGCATCCTGGACGCTCCCGGGGCTCCGGGTGGGAGGGCTTCAAACACAATTGATACTGCCTAACCACTCCTTCAGCAGTGGCAGTCAACGGTTCACCAGTTTTCTGCCATTAGCCAGAAAGTTGCCTCAGAAGGGTCAGTGTGCGTGCGTGCGCATGTGTGCGTCCATGCGAGCATGCGTGGGTGCGTGGGTGCGCGGCTGCGTGGGTGGATGGGTGGATGGGTGGGTGGGGGGGTGGGCGGGTGGGTGCGGGCGTGCGTGTGCATGTGGGTGGGGTGTGTGTGTGTGCTGCTTCAGATGGGTTGCATTTTGTAGTGCTGACACGCCGTTAGGTTCCAACCTTGTGGCACCAACGGAACGGTCTGTAGACAATGCAATGGTTGGCTGATGGCATTAAAAAATAATTTTGAGCTGTGCATGTCAAAAGGAGCACCCTCATAATGCTTGGCGCAGGTTCAACTTGCTCATTTTCTAAACAGGTTGGCTGGGAACCCTTGCTTCACACTTAGGTTGGGGCAACAGGGGCCAGGCTGGGGGTTGGGGTTGGTTGGTCCTTGCTCGGATTTGGGGCTGCGTATTGGCTCGATTTGGTGGCAGTCGGCTGGTTTCAGGTGAATGTTGGGTTTGCCGAGCTCTTACTGAGCGCAGGTCTTGAGTGTGTTTGGGCTTGCCAATCTCAAACCAACCCCAAACTCACATAAGCACACCCTAAAGCAACTCTAAAGCCACTCACTGCTAAACCAGTCGCACACCTAGCACAAATCAGCCCGCAAAAACCATACCAAAAAGGTTTTTACAAACAAATAAGGTGGAGGCAACGGGAAGCAAATAAAGGCCGGTTTATAATCCCCATTACTTACTCTCCTGCAACAGGCATGGAAGCTGACAGCAAGGTGTGGGAAGAATACTTTCATTTGGGCAAACTCCCTGTCCATGACTGTTGGAAGTTGGCATACCCAAGTAGCACCGCAGGAATGCCTGATGTTGCCAACCGTCATCAGGCCTACGAATTGCAGAAACCCATATTGGCAACTCAAGCCCAAATAGCCGGACCTCACCATGAAACACAGGCAAAAGAACTGCGAACCAGGAACATGGCCCATAGGCCAATAGGCCTCTCCCGAAATTGACCCTCAAAATTGTCGTGTCCCCTGTTCTTTCCTTTGAAATGACCCCCCTTTAGGGCTACCAACTCCAAAAAAAACGAGAGCTTTGGGCCGTTTCAGGCCTCAGAGTCCCTGATCCAGTCCAGCATCCGCACTGCGCTCTTCAGCAGGTCCCGCGCCAAGTCCTGAGACAGAAAAACCTAAAAAAGCGTCCAGGTGTTCCTCGTAGTTTTCAGCCAAACACTTGGACGCTCGAGCAAACACCTTGGAAGCCCCAAGAATATAAGCATGCTTGAAAATAAAAGTCCGGTGAAACAACTTGATCACTTCACTTATTGGCATCTTGGTAAATCTCAGGTTAACGTCCAGGTAACCCCTGGTTACCTCATTAAACCCCAATAAGCCCATTTGACGCCCCGAGTAACCGCACGTGAATCCCAGCACTGAGCACTGTCTTTCAACCAACTTCATCCACCATGGTCGGACAACATTTGTTTAAGCCAGGCCACGGGGGCCTTTGAATTGAAACCACACGGATTCGAGGTTGTTTGTTCCCCAACAGCTGAAAGCTTTGGGGTCTCAGCCCAGATAGGCTCCGGGGTGGTCCGGAGCGGCCTGAGGTAAGGTTCCACGAGGGTTCCACCAGGGTTCCACGAGGTTCTGCGAGGGCCGCGGGGTGGTGCGAGCACTACAAAGAGCACTGTATGCTGTTGGGGATATCGCCTGAGCTTATTTATACAGCTGTGGCTGAGCAATCACGGATAACAACATGATCGCGCTTCGCAATGGAGCAAATAACATGCAACCACCACTAATTAGCCTACTATATGTTTGATGGCCTGCGTGAAATGTCCAGCCTGCTATGGCTGCCAAGCCATCTCAATATGTTGTGAACAATATCCCGTTGGCGAATGGCGGGCAAGGAGGACACACACCAAACCAATGATGCAACATCGTCCTTCAAGGGTGTTCATCGTTTATGGGGGAGGGCGCTTCAAATAGATTATTTTAGGTACGATGTGGAAGGAAAGCCGGCATGAAACCAAAAATGTCATGTGCAATGAGACGCCGAAACCCTGGCAAAACAAAATAAGGAACTCAACAACACGTACGGAATGGCCAGGGTTTCGGCTGTGTCTGGCTGGAAGAGCCGCACCCCGCCGAGCTGCGAGGAACGGCTCGTGGTCCGTCAGCCACTCCTTGACCGCCTGGACCGAGAAAAAACGACAAACTCAAAGGGCCGGGAAACCCAAGTCCAGGGGGGGGCGTGTTTAGTTTTTTCTCTGGACTTGTCCCCACCCCAAATGAGTAGTTGACTATGTGTCTTGTTGTGTCTGAAGGTTGTGACGTGTTTGCCTCGGACGGTTCTCTCACCCGAAAAATCATCCCAACAGAATGCTGACTCGGGGCACATCTCAGGATGGTTTGTGGCCTGATACCTCCCCTCATGAACTCACCCCAACAAAAAAATTCTCTGAAACTTGGCGACCAAAAGGATGCCCAAATAGTAAGAGTCCGCACCTTTGGATCCTCTTGCTTACGAGAAACCAAAGGACAACTGGTCCCCCTTGGAGTTCCTCCAACCCTTTTTGATTACTATTCAAACTTGGAAAGAAAACCAAAGCCGTTAACCAATCGCTCTGCCTTCTCACGTTTCTTCAACAGGACTCCCCATCTGTCCCTGCGACCAAAAAGGAAAATAACAAGTTGGTCCAAAACGGGATGTTTCAAACCACCACATGTGAATATACATACATACAATACATTACATTACGTTACGATACGTTGCGTTACGTTACGTTGCGTTACATACACACATACATACATACATACATACATAAATAACATAACATAGCAGAGCAGAGCAGAGCAGAGCATAGCATAGCATAGCATAGCATAACAGAACATACATACATACATACGTACGTACATACATAACATACATACATACATACATTACATTACATTACATTACATTACATTACATTACATCACATCACATTACATTACATACATACATACATTACACTACATTACATTACAATACAATACATTACATTACATACATACATAACATAACATAACATAACATAACATAACACACGTACATACATACACACATACATACATACATACATACATACATACATTACATTACATTATATTACATTACATTACATTACATACATACATTACATTAATACATACAATACATACATACATACATACATACATACATACATACATACATACATACATACATACATACATACATACATTACATACATACATACATACATACATACATACATACATACATACATACATACATACATACATACATACATACATACATACATACATACATACATACATACATACATACATACATTACATACATACATACATACATACATACATACATACATACATACATACATACATTACATACATACATACATACATACATACATACATACATACATACATACATACATACATACATTACATACATACATACATACATACATACATACACATTACATACATACATACATACATACATACATACATACATACATACATACATACATACATACATACATACATACATACATACATACATACATACATACATACATACATACATACATACATACATACATACATACATACATACATACATACATACATACACACATACATACATACAACACATTCCATACATACATACATACATACATACATACATACATACATACATGCATTAGATACATACATACAGACATACATACATACATTACATACATACATACATACATACATACATACAGTACATTACATTACATTACATTCATTACATTACATTACATTACATTACATACATACATACATACATACATACATACAACATACATACATACATACATACATTACATACATATATACAATACATTAATACACACATACATTACATTAATACACACATACAAACATACAAACATACACACATACATACATACACACATACATACATACATACAGTACATACATACATAAGTACATTACATACATAAATACATTACATACATACATACATACATACATACATACGTACATACATACATACATACATACATACATACATACATACATACATACATACATACATTACATTACATTACATTACATTATATTACATTACATTACATTACATTACATTACATTACATACATACAACATACATACATACATTACATACATACATACATACATACATACATACATACATACATACATACATACATACATTACACATACATACATACATACATACATTACATACATACATACATACATACATACATACATACATACATTACATACATACATACATACATACATTACATACATACATACATACATACATACATACATACATACATACATACATACATACATACATACATACATACATACATACATTACATACATACATACATACATACATACATACATACATACATACATACATACATACATACATACATACATACATACATACATACATACATACATACATACATACATACATACATACATACATACATACATACATACATACATACATACATACATACATACATACATACATACATACATACATACATACATACATACATACATACATACATACATACATACATACATACATACATACATACATACATACATACATACATACATACATACATACATACATACATACATACATACATACATACATACATACATACATACATACATACATACATACATACATACATACATACATTACATACATACATACATACATACATACATACATACATACATACATACATACATACATACATACATACATACATACATACATACATACATACATACATACATACATACATACATACATACATACATACATACATACATACATACATACATACATACATACATACATACATACATACATACATACATACATACATACATACATACATACATACATACATACATACATACATACATACATACATACATACATACATACATACATACATACATACATACATACATACATACATACATACATACATACATACATACATACATACATACATACATACATACATACATACATACATTACATACATACATTACATACATACATACATACATACATACATACATACATACATACATACATACATACATACATACATACATACATACATACATACATACATACATTACATTACATACATACATACATACATACATACATTACATTACATTACATTACATTACATTACATTACATTACATTACATTACATTACATTACATTACATTACATTACATACATACATACATACATACATACATACATACATACATACATACATACATTACATACATACATACATACATACATACATACATTACATACATTACATACATACATACATACATACATACATACATACATACATACATACATACATACATACATACATACATACATACATACATACATACATACATACATACATACATACATACATACATACATACATACATACATACATACATACATACATACATACATACATACATTACATACATACATACATACATACATACATACATACATACATACATACATACATACATACATACATACATACATACATACATACATACATACATACATACATACATACATACATACATACATACATACATACATACATACATTACATACATACATACATACATACATACATACATACATACATACATACATACATACATACATACATACATACATACATACATACATACATACATACATACATACATACATACATACATACATACATACATACATACATACATACATACATACATACATACATACATACATACATACATACATACATACATACATACATACATACATACATACATACATACATACATACATACATACATACATACATACATACATACATACATACATACATACATACATACATACATACATACATACATACATACATACATACATACATACATACATACATACATACATACATACATACATACATACATACATACATACATACATACATACATACATACATACATACATACATACATACATACATACATACATACATACATACATACATACATACATACATACATACATACATACATACATACATACATACATACATACATACATACATACATACATACATACATACATACATACATACATACATACATACATACATACATACATACATACATACATACATACATACATACATACATACATACATACATACATACATACATACATACATACATACATACATACATACATACATACATACATACATACATACATACATACATACATACATACATACATACATACATACATACATACATACATACATACATACATACATACATACATACATACATACATACATACATACATTACATACATACATACATACATACATACATACATACATACATACATACATACATACATACATACATACATACATACATACATACATACATACATACATACATACATACATACATACATACATACATACATACATACATTACATACATACATACATACATACATACATACATACATACATACATACATACATACATACATACATACATACATACATACATACATACATACATACATACATACATACATACATACATACATACATACATACATACATACATACATACATACATACATACATACATACATACATACATACATTACATACATACATACATACATACATACATACATACATACATACATACATACATACATACATACATACATACATACATACATACATACATACATACATTACATACAACACATACATACATACATTACATACATACATTACATACATACATATATACATACACACATACATTACATACATACATACCATACCATGCCATTACATTACACTACATTACATTGCATTGCATTGCATTACATTGCGTTACAATACATTACCTACATACATTACACACATACATAATATATTAAATTACATGCATGCATACATAACTATGTATATGTATGGCATATGTATATATAGGGGGAGCCCCTGTTGAACCCTGCGGCCAGGCCGGCCCTTGCCTTCATGAAGAGGCTGCGCCAAATGGGCAGCTGCCGCATGGCGGAACTATCCAGAAGGCTGACCAAGTAGCTGCCCCGGTTCCCCCGCGCGCACTTGCCGCAGTAGTTCCCCGGCGCCGGGCCGTCGGTCTCATCCACCCTGCGGGTCTGTGCCTGGGAAGGCACTGGAATCCCAGCCCAAATGTGTCCAAGCGGTTCATGAGGTTCGTAAAACAACAACAATCACAGGCCTGCCCCTCAACAAATTTCCAATGAACTTAACATGAATAACCTCTTGGGTTTGTTCGCTTCAAATCAGCAAACAACCCCACACGGCTGCCCTGTCCGTGTCGCAAATACATCCTGTGAGTTGCCAAGTTGTGTAGTAGTGTTCAATGGCCTTCGCTAAGCCACCACAGACCGACTTTCAATCTTGTCATGCCAGACGGTGAAATGCGCCTCGTCAGGATTGAAACACGGGCATATCATAGATGAGTATGATGATTTATTTTTTTGCAAGCAATGCGCCTGAACCAGCTTCACGTTTTGTGCCTGGAGACATATCAAGCAATGCCACCTCAGCCTGTGCCGCATGTGCCACGAAGATCCTGGAAACCAAGGCGGCGCCAAACATGTGTTCCCTTCGGTCAAAGAAAACACATATTGCTACATAATTGTGTGTCCTCCGTGTGGATGCAAAACAATCAAGAACCATCAAACACATTCAAAGCAACAGGTGTGCAGTTAAAAACACTTTGAACATGCGCCATCAGGCTGTGCAGCGCATGCAATTCCAAACAAAACATGTGTGAAACTGAGACTGAACTGCCAGCCAAACCTGACGTGGCAACACACACCTTTGTGATCAGCCTCAAACTCATGCATTCAAGGATTAGCTCACCCTGAAATACGTGCAAATCCATGGCAAACAAACAATTGGCGAATGGGCGCTTCACTGTGATCCTCTACGTGCACCATTCAAGAACATGGTTTGCCGTTGCAAATAAAAATTGCCACAGTCCTGCAACTCTTTGGGAACCGACGACGGAAAAACGAAACACAATATGAAAAATGATGGCATGAAGGAGGGCTGTCATGTCGAAATTCAAACACATATTATTTGGACCTTTGCCCTAAATACACCCTGGGATCGATCCCCGAAGAAAGAGGCCTCCCAGCAGCTAGCAACTCGCATCGGTAAGCCGAGCCACGCATTTGGTGCAGTGATATCTTTGACGGCCCAGGTGGTGGCCGGTGCTCAAATGCAGGCCTGGCTGAGCGGTCACGCTCGCCAGCAACCAATTCTTTGTTCGTTGAACAAAAATTGCGCTGTCTGCCAAGAAACCAACACCACATTGATGGCAAAACAATCGGCTCATGATACGCATCAAACCCCGACTGATTTACCGAGTTGGGACACACTATGTTCGAGTTTGCCGTGTTTAATCATTTTTGACCACACTGGGTGCTCTGGATACAAAGGGAATCTAAACAACAAATGGCGTTTGTGAATATTGCCAAAACGATCCACATGACAAATCCATGCTAAACCAAACATGCAATACACGCGCTGGACATTTTTGAGCTCATGATGCCATCGGGATTTACGGATAAACACAGGGCTTACAATCCAACTAAACTCAATGACATGGCGCTGGTGCAGGATTGAGCAAACAACAAAACCAGGAACGATCTGTTCAAACCACCTGTCCGAACATGTTTGCATGAAAATGCAATTCTCTGCAGCAACTGCAAAACACGTCTGATGTTCAGCATTCTTTGCGCCAAACAAAACAAACAAATGTGACCAGTCACTGTTTTTGGCCCGCCCTGCCCCCCCACCCCCCCCGCGAGCCCGCACAAACGCAATGGTTGTGCACATGCAGTTTCTGCAATTCAACACGCAAATGCCGTAAGTCTTTTCCAACAAATAATCCGTGAACTCAAATGGAATTGCACGATCAAAAACCACATGCTTGCAATTTCAAAAAAAAACAAAACATATCGAGTTTCGCCCAGCCTAGGCTGCAGAATCGACCATTTTTCGCCATGTCCTGCTGAAATGAATGCAGTCGCAAAGTGCCGCAAAACATGGTGCGTCCATCAGGGGAGGAATGTCGATTTGTGTCACGAGGATGTTGCAAAGCCTGCACCTGCCCCTAACTTAACATCCAAAAACAACATAAATAAACCAGGCTCTGCCGACTGGAGTGCTTTCTTCTGCTTACACATGCTTGCACCGCAACATGGCAGCATTGCCGCCACTGCCACTCCGAACTGGGCGCACCACTCGCCACGAATGGTGCGGTGGTTCAGGCGGTCGAGCAAAGATGTATGAACAACAACCGCAAGCCGACTTTGAAAGGTGTGGGGATGTGTGGGGGAGGGAATGAAAGGCTGGTCTGGAAGCAAGCATGCAAAATTCATTTTTCTTTTGGGGGTTGAAATTCGACGAAAATGTCTTGAAGGCACCCAGCAAACCTCTTCGGCCCCCCAGTCTCCTGCCCTCTGCTGCGCTGGCCGTAGCAGCACCAGCCCTCGTCCAAGCGGATGGAACCTCTCAGGAACTCAAACAGCTTTCCGGATGAATTCAGGTCTAACTCACGAGGCCCCCCTTTGACCCTGCTTTCTTTTGTTACAAAGGGTCCCCCAAGACAGCCCAAACACATGTCATGTGGGCAAAGGGTTGCCACGGCAGCGCTACACATCACTGAAACAGGTCCCGAACCTGATGCTTGGCAACCCGACACTCTACTTGGTCATCTTTGCACGGACTCAAGACACCGCCTTTCTTGCAACTTGGATAATCAAACCCACTAAGTAAGCACGATTGGATTGACAGGGGTTACCAGTGTTTAACCTCATACCCATACACATGGTAATGACCCACTTCCCCAAGTCTGCTGAACATCCACCAAAGCGCTCATAGCTCCCCTGTTCGCCCATTCCATGCAGGGTGCTTTTTCGTTGCAGTAATCATTGCGTTGCGCGAGCGGTACCAGTGGCATCCCCACAGGGAGGATACCAACAGCATTTAACTGGCTTTGAGGTACCGTCATACCACTTGGAAGCGTGTAACTCAGAAGCTTAGGCCAGCACCTCTGCCCCAGCACTCGAGCCTGAGTGGAGCGACCGAGTCTTCGCTGAAACGGAACATTTTGTTTAGCACAAGCTTGCGTTTCTCTTCTGGGTGGGACACACGCACAGTGGAAAGACTTGGGGAGGCTGACTGGACGGGTATGCACCCAGGATATCAATAGGCAACATTCCGTGAGATGCGGGTTGCAGGCTGCAACATCGAAAAGGCAACATTCCAGTCAGGCTCCATGCTGAGGGTCTCTTTAGCAAACCACGACATACCTGCATGGATCCTAGCGTTGGTGCCCAAAGTCTGTATATTTGCCCGTCCTTCTTCCAACAGCACTAGAACATCCAAGCGATGCTGGCCAAAGCGTGGCGCCGCTCATGAAAAGAGGCAAAGGGCTGCAGGCCGTGGTTGAAACGCTCACTTCCTAAGTTGCCTGTCCTTTATGTTTTTTGGAAAGCCATGCCTGCGGCAAACAACAAGCTCATACTGTTCTTGGCCAATCCACGCGGGAAGTGCGTATGGGTACGTCTCCAACACCCCCACATTTGGTTTCCCTTTCACGCCAACCCCAAAAGAAGGCCTAAGAACGACGCCAGAATGATGAGCATGAACCTGCATGGAAGTAAGGGATCCGCGCATCCATGGTCATTCCCCCGCCACTTGGCAAAATGGGGAGTTTTTCGCTCTTCCCTGCCACCAGGCTGGCATTCAAGCCAAAGGGGCGTTAGGCCGCAGTGGCACTTCTTCTGCTTCCCATGCCATGCAATCCACGGCTGGCTCTGCAACGTCTCCAGCAGCGACTCGAAACTCTGAACCTCGGAGCTATCGGCCGAGAGGCACAGGGCAGCCAGCGAGTTGCAAGTTTCAGTGCCACATCTGACACTTTGGGGTGACGGTACGTAATTCGTGTGGATTCCCTGTAACAAGTGTTCTTGCCTTCTTCGCAGTTGGTTGGGGCCCCAACAGGATTGCCATCGCCCCCCGCAGCGATTGCGTAGGGATTATTTTACCATGGATGCTTCCTGCTCATTTCCTTCTCATTCCTGATGCTGCCTGCCACCTGCATGAAGGACCAGTTGCATTGAAGCGTGCCAGGCCTTAGCCCAGACTTCCGAGCAAGGGAAACGAAGGGAAAGCTGACGGACAAACAAACAAACAAACAAGCCCAGGTGGCATCCCCAGCAAGCCCCGGAACCTCTCCGGCGGCCCGCACCTGCTCCGAACCACTCCGGAGCCTATCCACAAACCCCGTAACTTTCAACAATTTGGAAATAAACAAAACATGAAAAACAAAAGGCACACAAAGACATACGAACGTACAAACATGCAAAATTACAAAAAAGCAAGCAAGCAAGCAAGCAAGCAAGCAAGCAAGCAAGCAAGCAAGCAAGCAAGCAAGCAAGCAAGCAAGCAAGCAAGCAAGCAAGCAAGCAAGCAAGCAAGCAAGCAAGCAAGCAAGCAAGCAAGCAAGCAAGCAAGCAAGCAAGCAAGCAAGCAAGCAAGCAAGCAAGCAAGCAAGCAAGCAAGCAAGCAAGCAAGCAAGCAAGCAAGCAAGGCAAGGCAAGGCAAGGCAAGGCAAGGCAAGGCAAGGCAAGGCAAGGCAAGGCAAGGCAAGGCAAGGCAAAGCAAAGCAAAGCAAAGCACGCACATACGCACGCACCCGCCAGTAAGCAAGCAAACAAGCACGCAAAAGGGAGAACAAAGCCTACCAGACGAGACGAGACCGAACAAGCCAAGACCAGAGCAAGCAGACAGACAGACAAAAAGATAAATCTGAAAGAAAATGCATAAAGACCAACAAGCAAGCCATTTTGTTTTAAAAAAACGTTGCATTAATGCGCAAACTAAGTTCAGAAATAGATAAGCAACACAATAAACAATAAGCAACAATATTAACTAGACCACGGTTGGCCCGAAAGCATAACATCGCAAGCGAGGCCGGCCCAACGCTGCAGGATGCGTTCTTTTTCCCTCCACGAAGCATTTGTGAAGCAAGCGCGGGACAGCATCAGGCAAGGTGCTCTGCGCAAACTGGTCGGTGCAAGTTGGTCTGTGCAAGTTGCTCTGCGCAAGCTGCTCCGCGCAAGTTGCTCCGGCAAGTTGGTCCCTGCAAGTGGCTCCCTGCAAGTTGCTCTGTGCAAATTGCGCTCCCTGCAAGTTGCTCTGTGCAAGCTGCTCTGTGCAAGTTGCTCTGTGCAAGTTGCTCTGCGTAAGTTGCTCTGCGCAAGTTGCTCTAGGCAAGGCGCTCTGCGCAAACTGGTCGGTGCAAGTTGGTCTGCGCAAGTTGCTCTGTGCAAGTTGCTCTGCGCAAGTTGCTTTAAAATGCAAGTTGCATCTTGCGACGCCCGCCCGCGGACCAGGGAGGAATCGAACCCGCGACCCGCCGGCCCGCGAGCAGGCGCGCGAACCACGAGACCTCGACCACGCCGCTTCCCGCAGAGCGTTGCGCGGGCACCGCAGAAATCGCAACTTTTGCACCTCGACCACGCCGATTCCCGCAGAGGGTCGCGCGGGAACTTTAGAAATCGCAAAAAAACCTCGAGTTTTTGCACCTCGACCACGCCGATCCCCGCAGAGGGTCGCGCGGGAACTTTAGAAATCGCAAAAAACCTCGAGTTTTTGCACCTTGACCACGCCGATCCCCGCAGAGGGTCGCGCGAGCACCGCAGAAATCGCAAAAAACCTCGAGTTTTTGCACCTCGACCACGCCGATCCCCGCAGATGGTCGCGCGAGCACCGCAGAAATCGCAAAAAAACCTCGAGTTTTTGCACCTCGACCACGCCGATCCCCGCAGAGGGTCGCGCGAGCACCGCAGAAATCGCAACAAACCTTGAGTTTTTGCACCTCGCCGATCCCCGCAGAGGGTCGATTTTCGTGTAGTGTCGTCGGCACTACCCCGCCGCCCTAAGAAGAGATTTTAACTCCTCGCAAGTCAATTGCACTTGGCTCCTTGCACTTGCAACTTGCACTTGACTCCTTGCACTTGCAACTTGCACTGGACTCCATGCACTTGCAACTTGCACTTGACCCTTGCACTTGCAACTTGGCACTTGGCTGCTTGCACTTGCAACTTGCACTTGACTCCATGCGCTTGGCTTCCTTGCAGCTCGCAATGACTCCTTGCAATGACTCCTTGCAATGACTCCTTGCAATGACTCCTTGCAATGACTCCTTGCAATGACTCCTTGCAATGACTCCTTGCACTGACTCCTTGCAATGACTCCTTGCAATGACTCCTTGCAATGACTCCTTGCAATGACTCTTTGCAATGACTCTTTGCAATGACTCCTTGCAATGACTCCTTGCAGTGACTCCTAGCAATGACTCCTAGCAATGACTCCTTGCAATGACTCCTAGCAATGACTCCTTGCAATGACTCCTTGCAATGACTCCTTGCAATGACTCCTTGCAATGACTCGTTGCAATGACTCCTTGCAATGACTCCTTGCAATGACTCCTTGCATGACTCCTTGCATGACTCCTTGCAATGACTCCTTGCAATGACTCCTTGCAATGACTCCTTGCAATGGCTCCTTGCATTGACTTTCATGATGATGATTCCTTGCAATGACTCCTTGCATTGACTTTCATGATGATGATTCCTTGCAATGACACCTTGTAATGACTCTCATGAGAACAACTCAAGTGAACCCAGCGGAAGAACCCTTCGCCATGCTTTCGGGAACAAAATGAACAAACCATTACGGAAATTGAATAGATAAACAAATGAAATAAGACACAGTTAAATAACAATAAATATGCATTTATATATGTAATTTAAATTAAAAACTAACCAACTAACCAACCAACCAATCAAAGAAACTCACTAAATTAGCTAACTAACCAACTAAACTAAAACAACATCCACAATGAATGAATGAATGAATGAATGAATGAATGAATGAATGAATGAATGAATGAATGAATGAATGAATGAATGAATGAATGAATGAATGAATGAATGAATGAATGAATGAATGAATGAATGAATGAATGAATGAATGAATAAACACAATCATACATTAAAGAGTTTTCGAGTAACAACGAACAGTTCCTCGAACCTTTCTGGCGGGGAGGCGGGGGCAAAGGCCGTTCCCCTGTCCAGTAACAGTGGGAGAACCCCAACCCACTTAGAGGGTGCCACCAAAACACAAGGATCTAAGACTCCGACGGGCACCCCATCTTTGTGGAGATGCTTTGCGAACTCCTTGAATGCCTCGGAATGGACGAGTGAGGTGCGCTCCCAACCTGGAACCCGAGGGGATAACTTCTCCGAGTTGGAACGCAATGCAAGTCCTCCTGATTTGGGACCGTCTCCCGCTGAAGTCACCCCGTTTCATACTAAATCTAAAGGGGTCGATTACCACCATCCAAAGAACCAAAGTCAGGTTTTGACTGTCGGATCCCATGCCCCCCTCCCCCACCCCGTCCCCCAACAGCCGAGATGCTGAGACCCCCTCAATCCAACCTCCCCGGTCCTTGACCAGGCGCTTCAGCCACACGGCCATACCCTGGCCACAGCCCCCCATCGACCGAGGCCTTATGTCCAAATCGGGGGGATTGGGACCCCATTTTGGGGTGTTGGTTTCTGGTTGCAGTCTGTAAAGGGAACCTCAAAGAAGTGGGATGGTGGGGAATGTGCGGCTTGGGCCTGGGGTTGGGTTGGCGTAGGTTTCAATAAGCTTATAGTATATTCACCGTTTGAGATTGTGGGGTTGCCCTATTGCACCACTCGTTCAAGTGGCCTCCGGGTGCTACTGCAAAAGGAGAGTACGCCAGTTTGTCTCCGGTAGGTTGAAGGTAGGTTTCAGATTGACGTCGGGAAAATAGGCTTGCTCTCCTGCGGGAAAAGCATCGTCCCTGGAGGGCCTCCCTTTCAGTATGGGTTTAGGTTTCGGCGCGATTCAGGACAGGTTTAGGGTCGGGCTGCTTTCGGCATGTAGGGTTGTCTGCTAACTTCTTGTTTCAAAGTCACGCCCTAAGTGGCCGGCAAGTACCCCTGGAAGTCAGTGCACCAACGGGCGGAGCAGTGACATCAAGATCGATCGCGACCGTGATGGTATGTAGAACATGCTCATCGAAAGAAAGCAATGGCAAGCTGTCAGCAAACAGAAGAGATCGTAGAGGGAAAAAAGCGGTGCATACAATGGCATGAACTCAGGGCGTGTGCTACTGCGTCGCCCGTTGCTGCACCTGCAATCTACATCGGCATCTGGTTGGTTGACTAGCTTCGTTTGCGGAAGCCGCATTACCAATCACCAAGCACATGGTGACTATGCTGGGCCAAACCCGGTACGTAGTACTTGGTTTCCAACGACCGGCCCGTGATCAATGCTTAATGCATCCCAAAAAAGCACAGTCCATGCTTTCTGGTTCCTACATTCGGCCTGCCTTTTATGTTTGGGTTTGTCTCCAACAAATAAACCCCAAAAGTGGTTGGTGTCCTTTTGGTGTCTCATTAAACCAACCCAACAAGGGTGCCCGCAAACCAGACACACACATATGGTGTCGCGCAACATCTGCGCCTTGGAGTTCCCGAGGAAGGCCACCATCTCAAAGCCTGACGCGCTGACACGCTGCTTGGGGCCAACAGGTCAGCAAGGAATGAGGAGGTGCGACATTCCGACTACGAATGCAAAGGGAGGTTATGCTTCTTACTTCTTGAAATGCCCCAAGGCACAGCGCCAGTCCACTGATGGCGGCCTTGATCCCTGAAATTGCTCAGTGTCTTTTCCCGCTGCTCCACCCACGCCTGTCTGGTTCAAGGGCACAACCCTGGGGTGCGCCAAAAGGCGGTTCGCCCAGTTTCTGTCCCGCAAGAGCATGATCATCGCCTCCGGGGCTTGCAGCCTACCAAATCAAAAGGCGTTGGACACGTTGAATCCCAAGCGGAAGGGGCGGCAAAACGTGCCATGACTTTGAATGGTGAGATGGTGAAAATTGGAAACGGCTCCACCCAGGAGTTTGCTGTTCTTGGCGGCTTGCTTACTGGCAAATATCACCTTCACATGAAACCACGGAGAGCACTGTAGTGAAGCAAGCGGATGTACGGGGGCCACTCTTGAAAAGGGGCTTCCGGCCCAACAGGGGGCCAACACCAAGTTGAAGAAATACCCGGCCCCCGCACAGACCACTAGTAGACCTGCGGAATGCTCGTGACTCGCTGAATATGTGGGATGCCTGCTGGCAAGGGGGCATTGTGACTGGAAACAGCACTGTGATTTCTTCAGATTGGTGAGCCCTGGCCAATGCCGAAGTGCGAGCCTGTGATTCAGGGGGCATTGTGACTGGAAACAGCACTGTGATTTCTTCAGATTGGTGAGCCCTGGCCAATGCCGAAGTGCGAGCCTGTGATTCAGATTTCCATAAATGGAGATCCTAATGCAAAAGCATGATAAATGATAGTCTTACTCGCCCATTTGGCCATGAGAAAGGACAATCGACTTGACTCAAACCATGCCGACCCCATGTAAGTAGCAAAAGGGATAGCATCACCCCAATGGGATAATTATGCAACCCCCAACTGTAAATGCCCGTTTGGTGCAAAACAACATAAGTAGCTTTCGACTACGGGGAAGTCCCGCATGCCGTCAACAGACGGACTGCTCCCAGATATGCGTCTCCTCCCCTTATGTTCCTTACCTTTTTGTCTTTGCTTTTCGAATGTGGAGTTGCTCGGAATCAGCTTGTTCAACAAAACAAGACTGCAATCTCCACAGCAAATGAAAACAAGTTCTTCGATCCCCGTGAAGAGCAGGAGCTCTGCGTCCCGGAGGGGGAGTTCCGAATCCCCCAAAACGGTGGGCGCAACGGGGTGCACAACGATCGGCGCCCTGGGGGACGGCGCTAGGTGCGGCGGCTGGGGGCGGAGCAACATTGTCACACTTTCTGCGTCATTCGTCGAGACTGGGTATGGCTCAAAATTCAATCACCAGGGGTGGTTAAGGTTTTGGTCCATGTTTCCACTTACTAGGGTTCCATTTGGGGTACCTATTTTTGACCCACCACTGCCATATTGTTACGTAGTGCTACGTCGTGACACTTGCACTTACAGCTGTATTGCAAGGCATGACTACAACACCTGAAAGCGAACGGAACAAAAGGCCGGGATGAGAATGAGGCCATAGCCAAGTTGTACATATTGCACAGGGCAGCGGCCAAAAAGCGATATACCGCCTAATATTGCGCCAAAAGTCGTCACCAGAAAACCGTATTCAGATTTGGGACTCTTCCGCGACGCTGTTTGGTCAATTAGCCATTGAAACGCCAGCTTTTTGGTGCAAGCAAACAAGAAATGGCATCAACTATTGCAAGAATAGCACATTTTAGGCCAATCGGGTCTCCCCCTGTTGCTGTCCAACCGGTTCCACCCACTTTGAATGCATGCCCGCTGTACCAGTAGTGGGTGTGGGAAAAGAAGGGCGTACATTAGTTGGTCCGTGGGTTACCTGAGTAGGAAGCTCCCGTCTATAGAGCTATACCTTGAGAATTGTTGGCCCTGTGTCGATGCCTTGCATCCGTCTCGCATTCAAGGACCGTTGTCTAGGCTCCATATCTGCGAGTTGTGCTGATCACTTCGCATTAGTGGAGCCGCCCTGATGGGACATCGTGACCTTCAGATAGATCATTGACGCTATGTGGTCAGACTATGCCAAAGCGACAACCACAAGGTATGGCAATTGCCCATACGCAAGTGATTTGCCCTTCCCCCCTTCTTCAAGCACCAAGCTGCCAGCAGCAGCAATGGCAAGGTAAACCTCGGAGAAATCAAAAGCCCGATCTGAGCCCCCCGTTGAACACGGCGACCTTCCTATTGGGGGGGTTAAAGTCACTGATACACACATATATATATATATATATATAACATTGGGTTGAGATCAAGCAAACTCAGAATCTTGTGGATTGTTGTCCCGGTGCATGTTTTTGCGGGGCCTGTGACAGGCGAGAGGAGCCCCAACGCTTGTGCTTCCAGGGAAAATAGAGCGGCATTGGACCCTATAGAACGCTCGTTCAAAAGGCGCCAACGTGTCTCGTTCAAAAGGCGCCAATCTCACCTGACTCCCCTACATTGGGTCATCTCTAAGGAAGCGTCCAAAAACACCCCGACAACAACCCACTCCCGACAAGAGAACCAAATGGAAGCAGCCGTTCATATTCTCCCACAGCCGTCAGAATTCCTAAGGGATTCCCCAACTCGAGTCTACCCCACAGAAAGACAAGTGACTACCTTGCGCGCAGCTCCGTGCATAAGCCGACCTGTCAGGTCCAAGCTCACCTAGATGTCCGGGCAGCCCAGGAGCAACAGGCAAATCAGAAGAAAACAGCAAGGCCAGCTGCAAAAAAAGAAAAAAAAAGACACTAAAAAGGGCCCAGTATTACCGTCCGCAACAACATTGCAATGTCAATGTGAGGTGCCAGCGTGCAAAATGCAGGATCCATTCGTCAGTTGCCGTTTGCCGCGGCTTGTTGGGCTTCCAGAGTTGCAATATCCAAAACGTTGAGCGTAACGATGCGTTGGGATGCGTTGGTGTCCACAAAAAAACAAACTAAATGGAGGTCCCATTTGTTGCCGGATGCGAATGGAGTGGATTTGTGCTCGACTAGCCAAAAAAAAAAAAAAAAGCCTCCTCGCTACAAACAACAGCACCACCAAACGCACCTAGACAAAATGGCTTGAGCAGTAGTTAGATCCATCATTGGGGAATGTAACAGCAGAGCGCAAGTAGCCACGCCACCACCCCACCCCCGTCTGCATCCCCATGCGGGCAAGCACGCAGAAACTAGACAATTCAAGTACTGATTGGCCAGTCGGTGACGTGCTTCCCGCATGGCTAAAGTTTGCTCCGTCCCCTTGAGCCTTCCAAACTCGGCGGATGCCCGTTCGCTTACCAGGGCACCACCCCGCAATGAGCAGCAGGATGTTCAAATACGGCCACAAGAAGACCTGGTTGAAGACCTCCGTCATCTCCATGATCTCTTCCATAAAGTGTTTGATGGAGGCCTTGAAGCAAAAGTTTGCTGTCTGCGCTGTTCAAAGTGGAGGCATTTCTGGAACATGGGACCCTAAGGGCATAGGAAGGGTCTGGCCATATCAAAAATGCATTGCATTGTGGAGAAATGATGTTCCTTCGCTGCGACTGGCGCCGCGAGTGAAAGTAACAAGTCAGATAACCCAACCTTTAGTATGTGGCTTCCCAAATTTGAGGAATCCCCTCTTAAAGCTGGTGGTTGCTTTCAAGCTTGCAGAGTTTGCTGGGCCCAGCCACCAAAGAGCAATGGGTGCACAAGTTGGCACGTTGGCGCACTGGTCAAAACTAGGAAACCAAAAGGTTGAGGCTGGGTTGAAACCTGCAGCCTCTTGACTTTTACGAGGAAGCAAGCTTTGTGCCGATGAGGCTGCGTTGATTTAATGATTGCTGCGCATGCTGGCAAAGAAGGCGAAAGAAGTTGTGCAGCAACTCCCTTACGATACCAGCGATCATAGAAGTGGACAGATCTGAGCATGATGGCAGTGCTTCAGCCCAAATCCCATTTCATAGTGGTTTAATTTTAAGAATCAACCAAACTGCTAAACACCCCCCGCAACAAACACAACGGCCGCCAAAAGCAACACTTCACCAAATTGCTGATCCCAAGTGGCTGGTGACAAGAACGTCTCAGCCTCCGCGAAAGTCCTCAGACATGCGCGGTTTTGTCCGCTTGGCGGTGGTTATCATTTGTGTCGTGATGGAAACTCCTCGTGACGCGGTGTATTGCTACACGCGGTGGCAATACTGATAGGCTGGGTGGGCAACACTTGCAGGCAACTTGAACTCGCGCGTCCCATCCTTGAGTTGGCGAATCCTGCCACACTTGACCGGGGACCAGACAAATGACTGCTTTGCACGAGCCAAGCCATGCATTCCCGGGTTGGCACAGCGAACGTCTCCCCATCTGACACTTCGAAGCACCTGCAAACTTCCCTCCAATTCAAACTCAAGCAAGCAAAACTTCCCACCATTCAAACCAAGCAAGCAAAGCAGCAAGCAAGCAAAGCAACGTGAGGGCTACATGGTTCTTGTCAAAGCTGCTCCCACCTGGCACCAGCCAAAAGAAAGCCTTGTGAACGTACCAAACAGCAACAGATGTGACCTTGTTTGCATTGGCTTCGAACTGCCCATGGACACCACAAACGTTGACCTCTCCATCTTTATGCATCCGAGCAGTAGGCATCGGATGTTGCCACCATGGGACGGCTCTGGCAGGCAACACGCATACCACTCCGCATTCTTGATGACATCATGGATCCTCTGGAGAGTGCTGTAACTTTGACCACGCCCACTCCGATTCAAAGGGGGCTACCCCTCCTCCCAGAAACATAGCACCTGTGGTAGGCTACCTGGAAGACGAGTTGAGGGAAGTCCCCCGCAAAGCGGCAAAGCCGTGTGGCAAACGCCCGGCTTTGCTCACTCATATGCCGCATGTTCAGCTTGCGAGCAGGGGGTTTTCAGCCAATGGAGGCGAAGGAATCCTTACAAAAAAAGCTGTGGAAAGGTCCCAGCACTTGGTTGCCTGGGAGTGGCTCAGAACTGGGGATCCCCAACAAAATGGGCGGTTTCAAGGTTTCTCTATGTGCCGCAAACAACATCATGCGAGTGTGGGTCAAAATTAAATCACTAGGGGACCACAGGTTTTAGTCCAATTTTTGACCCACAGCCAAGCGAGGATCTCTTCCGGACTCTTCAAAGCACCACATTGGTGCTACTGGTACCTTAATCGCGAACGGTGCATCCTTTACGCCGCATAAGGATTAGTGCCAAAATGGGAGGATTGCCCAGCTCCACTGGGCAGCTCCC